TGCTGGGAATTGAACCCAGGGTGTTGTGCATGCAAGGCAAGCACTCTACCAATTGAGCTCTATCCCTAGCCCCAAGATTTGTTTATAACAGATAAACTGCAATTCAATTTTAGCCCTGAAGAAAAAGATTGGTATTTTTCAATGATTTTTTTAAATGTGTAAACAGACGCCAACCTAATGTGTATTTATAGCATCAGTTTAATGGATCTAAAATAGCTGAATGAAATATCAAGTTGGGTGCACTGGCATGTACCTGTAATTAAAGCAACTTGGGAGGCAGGAGAATTCAAAGTTCGAGACCAGCCTGGGTAACTTAGCAAGATACTCAGCAACCTAGGGAGATCCTATCTCAAATAAATAAAATGGACTGGGAATGTAGCTCAGTGGTTAAGTGTTCATGGGTTCAAACCTCAGTACTGAAGAAAAACAGGGAGGGAGGGAGGGAGGGTAAAAAAGAAAAGAAATATCAAGAAGTTGTACATAGGGTTTATCTGAAATTCAATAACAAAGTAGGAATTTAGCCCAAATAAATATTCTTTTTAGAGTATGCAAAAGTGCCAAATGACAAGTTAATGGGACTTTTACATGTTTCATGACAGTGGTAACATATGATACAGGGAACTCTTGACATTTTGTCTTCTAAAGGCACTGAAGTTGGGTCCTGGTGTGTCCCTGTCATGGTGCTTCAGCAATGCCTATGCCTCATACCCCAGAATTCTCTCTATGTAAGAGTGTGGTGGGGTTTGAGCCAATGTGCTTTTCACCTATTGTGCTCTTTCAATCTTTTACAGAACTTGCAAATACTACTGAAAAATCACAACTTAAAGAAGGCCTACTGAGTGAGCAAGACGCAGTTGCTCAGTTTGGATCACAAAAGGCACCAGTAGGACAGCAGATCCATCGCATGTTCCTCTTAAGAGTGAAGCTCATGCACTTTGTGAACAGTTTACACAACTACATCATGACCAGGGTTAGTATCTGCCATCTGCCTCAGTTCTGTCACTTTATGTATTTATTTGTTCATAGAGCACAACCTATAAAATTTTGGCAATACAAATGAGTCCCCAAATACTTGTAACTTGTGAAAATGGGACATATACAAAATTTAATCACAGAATAAGGAGGAAATGATGTTTTTTAATTTACTAGCACTTGTATCCAGAGACTACAACTCCTCTTGTTTCTGGCCCTTTAGCATAGGCACACTTGGAGATCTTCTTTTTGAATTCCTTCAGAACATGCTACATTACACACTAAATTTCATCAGTGATGATTGCTGTCCCTGGAAAATTGATTAAACATTTAGTATCAGTCCAATTCCTCAGGGCAGGGAAAGTGCAGCCAGCTTAAATACTTTTTTCTCAGAAACAAGAAGTAACTCACTAAAAAGTAAATGAAACTACTTTTCTTACACATCTTAAAACTGGTTCCAGAGGAAGTTCTGAAAGAGAAGTTCCAATATTTGAACTGTAGCAGTTATTATTAGAGGCCAAAACTTCCTTGACATTTGAAGTTTGCTTAAAAAAAAAAAAAACCATCCCTTTGTGTATAACTATTCTGGTACATAAATGCTGAACCTTTCTTATTAAATGAAGGGACCCTTTGAAGCCTGTGCTTTGAGCATGAAAGACGAACTGGGTACTCTGTGCCTCCCCATCCTGTCACCAGGCTGGCGTTAAGTTAGGCCCTTAATTATTAAAAGGGTTAAATAGGAATTTAAGTTCTTACTTAGTTTTCAGTTACAAAAGTGATGCTTATAATTATTACAATTTTCCTGATAGTTTTTTTTTTTTTAAACAATAGATTTGCTAGTTGATTTGATGAATTTGCTCCTTCGCAACAGGAAGCCTGTTAGTCTGAAGTTCAGTGCTGAGTGCAAGTGTCTGTGCTAAAGGCTGCTGTCAGGATCAGAACATCAACACATCCAGTCATCCTTTAAAGGAGAGTGTGATTATGAAGGAAGAATTTGTGAAAAGTAAAAGAGGCTGGTAGAAAGTTTTGTGTACAGCACACAGCCCTCAAAGATGAGATATGCTGATTAAGCTTTTTATTTTCTCTTCCAAGATTCTTCATAGCACAGGGCTGGAGTTTCAGCATCAAGTTGAGGAAGCCAAGGATTTAGATCAGTTGATTAAAATTCACTATAGATATTTGTCAACCATCCATGATCGATGTCTACTGAGAGAAAAGGTATGAGAGATGTTACCACCCATGTGGCCAGTGAGGCAGGAGGAAAGCTGGGCAAGTGGGAATTTCTATCTGCTTTGCAATTTTGTGATTATTAAGCTACTGTCCTGCACAATCTTTTCCTAGGAAGGACAGGGTCAAATGAGGCTACATTACCTACCCCTTATTTCTAAGAACAACATGAGAACTGTATTACCATAGTCAGCATCCCCTGTGCCTTACACCTGGATTTATTTAGAAAATTAGGTCACAATTGTGGAGCAATTGTGTATTCGGCTTAATGTGAATATATGAAATTGAATAGTATCACAACCATTGATCTGAATGGCCATCCCAGGGTGGTAGCTTGCCTTCTTGGTTCCACTGTGCTGCCAGTACCTCCTTTATCGTGTG